ATTTTAAATATTTTACATTGGATTGGACTTTTGTATATTGTATACAAATTTTGTATATTGAAACAAATTTGATATTAATCTTGTTGGAACACACTGTACATACATTTCTAGTCTTGTTTCAAAGTATTGTACCTATGCAGCTCATTTAACAACGTAATACAAATTTATAGTTCTTGAAAGTTATTATTATCAACTGTTTAGGGCAATAAGGAAATGCAAGTAAGTAATTGGTCACCTAGTACAATTAAACTTGTAGTGATGTTAGGTATGTTCTCAAGGTCACACTGAGATATACTTTAAATAGACAGGATGTCTTTAACCACTTCAGAGGTTTACAGAATATGGCATTTAAAATGTTCTAATAGCATGAGTTATTATTTTTTTTTTTTTTGACCATGAGACATGCCTGCTCCTGGTAACACCAATCTACTTCAAAGGAGATAATGAATATCAATGAAACTCCACATGGAATTTATGGTAAAAATAAGCCACTGGGAAGAAATTGCCCTGCCTCGACTGCTGGCAGTATGCTGTCCTAATTGACAAAGACACAAAAGAGAGTGACTGCCAAACATTGTGGGGATAAGGCTTCTTCAGAATATTCTGCATCACAGCATAGTCTGTTCAATATTCTAGGCCTGTAGGCTGAAGATGGATGCCCCAATGTCGCAGAGGAACTACGGGTGACTGTCCAGGCAGTCAGCCGTTTCTGCCATTCCTCACAGTTTTTTGGAAGTTGTTTGCTTGCATTTCCTGCTTACTCGGTTAATATTTCCTTTTCAGATCTCTGAGGGAGTTGAAGACTTTATAGTTATAGTTTTCCTTGTTTACCAGACTCAAAAGAAACTCACTGAAGAGGTGTAAAGTGTAAAAGGTTGAGAGACATTAAAAGATAATTTGACAATGCAAATTAGAATAGAAAGTGAATTAAGCACAACCTTTTGGGCTCATCAATATAGGAATGATATGGAGCATTTTCTCTGAATTTGTCAAATGCCAATGGACTAGACATTGTTGATGTATTTATTGCCTGTATATATTATATATAGTTATTGTACTCATTGCATAGTTTTTCTTAGATTAGGTATAGTCTTCCCTTTTATTTTAGATAATAAAGGAGAATGAGAGTGGTACAGTATTTGTGTTTTAATAAGTAAAGTTTGCCCGATGATCAAAATGCAAAGCAGCTATACTACTCAGTCATATAGGCCAGACAGTGGAGGCACACACCTTTAATCCCAGCAGTCACACTAGTTAGCCATAGAGGCTGGACAGTGGTGGTGCATGCCTTTAATTCCAGCACTAGATAGGAATATCAGACAGGAGACTGGTCTCAGTCTGAGGATTCCTAGAGGCAGGTTGGCCCATTTCTGTCTGAGGTTAGAGTCAGAGGCAGGCCGCTTTGCTTTTCTGATCTTCAGCTTGAAACCGAGGATCTGTCTCTGTTTTATTTTTTCCCCAGGGTCTCTTTCTGCAGCCCTAGTTATGTGGAACTTGCTGTATAGAACTGGCTGGCCTTGAACTCAGAGGTCTTCCTGTCTTTGCCTCCTAAATTGTTGCCAAGGTTTTGCTAGATACTGCGTGTTGGTCTTGCCTGAACTCACTGTGCAGGCTAGGGTACCTTTGAACTCAGCAATCCTGCCTCAGCCTCCTGAGTGTTGGGATTATAGGGATGTGCTACCATCCTTCATCTTGAGAGTCCTGATGCTAGACTAAGTGAATCCATAGACACCGAAGATGACTATATGAACATGCAGCATGTAGAACCAAGTATCTTCTTGTAATTACTTTGCATTTATTAATTCATTCATCCTCCAATAAAGCATTACACTCATTTTTACAGAAAAGGACTCTGGGGTCAGAGCTTAAACAATTTAATCTAGCTACCTGGAGCAGAGCTCAGAGATAACAAGCAGGTTGGCTCCATAGGTATATGCTTGTTACTGTTTTAACATATTTGAGTCAACCTTTATTAATATATATTCTAAAGATTACTATGTGTGTGTGTGTGTATAATTTAAGGGCCAAGGACACTTAAACAAGGCCATTATAGGTGATAAGGTAATCAAATATTTGAAGCTTAAGTGTTGTGGGGACAAATTGTATTTACTTTCTGGGATCAGGTTCTCAAGCTAGCTTCAAACTTGCTATATAGACAAGGAACTAAACTAGCCTTGAACTTCTGATCCTTTTGTCTCTACCTATCAAATATTGGGATTAGGGGAGTGTGCCACTATATCCTGCTTGAAAGATAATTATTTTTAGTTTATCCAAAGACTTCATTTATTTATTTATTCAAGGAAGGGTCTAACTACATAGCCCTGTTTGGCCCAGAACTTGCTATGCAGACCAAGTTGGCCTCGAACTTAAGAGATCTGCCCACCTCTGCCTCCAGAGTACTGGGATGAAAGGTTATGAACCACCACTTCCTGACTAGTTTTCAATACAGTGGATGCAATAGTAAAAACTTTGCTGGACCAGTGAGTAATTTATAAGGATCATGAGCTATAATTTAGTTTTTACCAGTATAATTTTAATCATTTTTATCAAGAGATATTTTAGAGGTATAAATTACTAGAAGAGTCAGTTATGGTAGGACATGCCTATAATTTGATCCAGGTCTTGGAAAGCTAAGTCAGAGGATATCCTCAAAACGTAGGCCAATGAGACCCTGCCTCAACAACAGGAAAAAAAGCAATTAAGGCTTAAGAAAAAAAAAACAGATATTTTAATTCAGCGTCTGCCAATTTTGAATGTTAGACAAAAGGCTTTATCTTAGTTCACAAAGATGCTGACTTATTTACAATTGTCCAACCATTGACCCATAAAAATAACCAGCAACTCTGTGAAGAGGGCAGTTATTTTAATTAAATAAATCATGGAAGGGAAGTGTTAAGATTACAGAACTATTTAAAACTTTCAAAGATCAACTATTGAAAACTTACTTTTGTACAAGGATATGTCTCTTTCCCAAATTCAGAGAAAGTTATCTGGATTTTTCTCAAAATAATTCATACTAAACAAAAAGAAAAGTAAATAAACAAATAGCCTAAAACTCCCAAGTCTTCAAGTATGTCCACCTTAGATTTTGCTGACATCTCCTCAGGCCTGTAATATTTTATACAAGTGTATAGACTGTATAAATATATACACTGGAGATCAGTGAAAATAAAATTAAAAAGAAATTATCAGTAGATCATGGCATTAACACAAAATAGTCCTGACTTTCCAGAGGAATGTTTACTTAAATTCAAGAATATGGTCAGAATGTAACAGAAAGGTAGAGAAAAAAATGGAGTATAAAATACAGCATAAGTAAAACCCAAGGTAAATAGAAAGCGATGTGGTGATGGTAGTAACAGAACTTAGTAATTTTGTGGTGCTCTGCCACTGACCTAAACTTTTGGTGCCTAACTTGGTACATATTGTCTTAGCATCATAGGAATTGGAATGTAATTAAAAAACAAAACAGAGAACCTTTGATTTTGCTAGGATTTCAATCCGAGATAAATGAGACTACGGTACTGTTAAGAGCACAATTCAAAGAAAGATTTTAGTCTTCTCTTTAAATATGTGTATGTGTGCAGCTATACACATGCGTGCAGTGGATAGATGATCGAGGGCATTGCATCCCCTGGAGATGTTGTGAGAGGTCGCGTTTGGGGGCTGGGAATCAAACCTGGAGCCTCTGGAAAAGCAGTGTGTGTAACTGCCGAGCTATCTTTTCAGCCCTCAAAATCACCTTTTAAGACAAATTCTGCAGTAGCTCTATTTGGATAAGACTTTTCAACACTATATTCTCTCAAACAGAATTTTCACTCTCGTGAGATTATTTATACATAGAACTCTGCATATAATTCCGCAACGTATAAAACCTCACATTCAGGGGCTGGAGAGATGGTGCAGCAATTAAGAAGGGGCATTACTCCTCGTAGAGAACTGAGTGTAGTTCCCAGCACTGGCAACCACCGGCCCAGGTCGCTCGTACTCAAGTGCGCAGAATCCCTTTCACACAATACACACGATTAATAAAAAGATAATAAGATCCTTAAAAAAAAAAAACCTTCACTTTCTAGGGTTTTAAAGAGCAGTCGGAATACATTAAAACATCTAAGGTATTCTGCACGGCCAGTCGTATTCCACATACAAGTTCACTAACGTCTTCCAAGCCAAATAGCCCTCTCGAATGCCTTCGGTGGGAAAACAGCCACAGACGCTTGTTTCTAAGTGTGTATTGGTGAGACAGAATGAACAGAGACGGGGCTCCTGTCTGCTGGAGGGCTGTGTGGGTAGGCTGGTATGGTTGTATTTCTAAGACTTCCTCGACAGAGTGGGACTATTGGGCAGCCAGGACTCGTGCAAAGGAATTTAAAGGAGGGAGGGGAAGTGATCGCTGGATCTCCTAGTTCTTAGTATGGAGGGCACATCCACACAGTGTGCTGAATGAATCAATAAATTATAACGAACGGGACACTTCGGCTTGGGGAAGATTTAAAAAAAAAAAAAAAGACCTGGAAGGAAAAGCTAGGAAAACTGAGGACTGGGCTGAATGCTTCGTGCTGGAAAGAGGGGAGGTGGCTGCGGCTAGCGAGCGAGGGCACTGACCAGAGAGAACTCGGTGCCGGGCCAGTTGACGCGGAAGGGGATGTCGTCGCTGAGCCGGGGCAGCGCCCGGCCGCCACCGGACGCCTCCAGGAGACCGCACAGGACCAACAACAGCGGCCCTCCGGGGACCATGCTACGCACGCCGCCGCCTCCTTCCTCCATCCTCCGTCGCCGCGTCCTCCAGCCGCCGTCACAACCTCCTCTACCGTTGGAGAACAGGTGGAGGAGGAGGAGAAGGAGGCGGCGGCGGGGCAACAAAGCGTCCTCGGGGTAGGAGACCCAACCGCCGCCACGTCTCCTTCCGGAGAGCTGGGCAACGCCGCCTCCGCCCCCACAAGGGCCTCGGGCCACCGCTTCCGGGGCACGCAGCACATCAACATCCGGGGTCGTGGGGTCGTTGGCCTACGGAAGCCCGCGCTTGGATCGCGCTGCCTTGAGTTGGGCCGTAGCATCCTAGCGGTTGGACACAGATGCGAAGGTCCGAGAACTGACGCCGGTTGGGCCGCTCAGGGAGTCAGCCCTTGAGCGGAGCGGAACGGCCAGGTGAGTTCTGCCCTGCCGCGGAGTCCACCCTCGAGGGGTAGGGCTGGAGGTGTGGGTGGGGGGTGGGCGGCGGCGCCCATAGAGCAGTGTGGGGTGAAGTAGTAGAGTTCCGACTCAGCTGTCAGCCTTCCACTCTTGCTATTTACACACTTCATCTTTCCGTCGGGAGCTTCTTTTTCTTTTTTCCTGCTGGTGACTGTTGTCACATCGGTTCTCAGCTCCTCACTAATGCTGCCCTGTCTTTGAAGACACCCAGGTGATACCTGCCATGCTACCATATGGGGGTAACTGTGGTTCTTCGACGTTTGGCTGAATGGGAGCTTGTGAGGAGGCGGCTACGCTTGCATTTTCACCTCACAAGGGGCTCCTCCCTTCCTTGGTTCAAGTGTTGGGCTGTTGTTATTTTGCTTAGGAATCTGGTAAGTTTCTTTATGTTAAGGCCAGAGCCAGGTGAATGTGAAGTTCTGTATTAAGTCACAGCAGACTGCATATTGACAGAAAGTTTGGTTTCATCTCCCCTTCCTGAAAAAAAAAAAAAAAGAATAATGTCCACATTTGTTTCATCTCCAGTATAAAAATTTATAGTGTTTGCCATAGAACACTTGCTAAAGACTTCCTCAAATTCGAACCAAATCAAAAAGCAGGGAAAGCAGCCAGTTTTTCATCTCTGCAATTTTTTTTAATTTTTTTTTATTGAGAATAAGAAAAAAAAAGTTTCCGCCTCCTCCCAGCCTCCCATTTCCCTCCCCCTCCCCCCACCCTTCTCCCTCTCCCCCCACTCCTCTCCCCCTCCCTCTCTAATCCAAAGAGCAGTCATGGTTCCCTGCCCTGTGAAAAGTCCAAGGTCCTCCCCCCTCTGTCCATGTCTAGGAAGGTGAACATCCAAACTGGCTAGGC